TCACTAGACTGGGATTTGTAATAAAGAGCCTGACTCTATTTTTTGTGTCTGACTACTGAAAGTTTTCTTTTTTAAAGAAAGATTTCAACTTACTGTAGATTAAGGGTATACATACAGATTTGTTATATGGGTAAACTGTGTGACACTGAGGCTTGAGGTCCCAACCATCCTGTCGTTCAGGCCATAGGCATAGTATCCAACATGGGGTCCTTTAGCTCATGCCCCCTCCCTCCCTCATCTGGTGATCCCCAGTGGCTACTGTTCCCGTCTTTATGATCATGTGTACTTAGTGTTTAACTTCACTTGTAAGTGAGGACATGTGGTATCTGATTTTTTGCCTTTGCATTAAGTCACTTAGGATAATGGACTACTGGCAGTTTTCAAGCCCACCGCTCCCTTTTCCCGTTCTGCCCCCACCTCTGAGCAAGCCATTACAAAAAGCCATGCTCTTTCTCCTTTGGAGCTGATAGGAAATTCAAACCCTGAACAGGGAAGCCCTCACTGTGGCCTCATCTCCTAACCACCAGAAAGCCCCAAGACAGTCTCTAGTCCCTGCTCTCTCTCTTTCTCTGTTTTGGGGGGGGTGTGTGTGTGTGTGTTTTGTTTGTTTGTTTTTTGTTTTTTTGAGACCAAGTCTCACTCTGTCACCCAGGCTGGAGTGCAGTGGTGCCATCATGGCTCACTGCAACCTCCACCTCCTGGATTCAAGCGATTCTCCTGCCTTAGGCTCCTGACTAGCTGGGACTACAAGCGTGTGCCACCACGCCAGGCTAATTTTTTTAGTAGAGATGGGGTTTCACCATGTTGGTCAGGCTGGTCTCGAACTGACCTCAGGTGATCCACCTGCCTCAGCCTCCCAAACTACTGAGATTACAGGCGTGAGCCACCGCACCCTGCCATATACCCTGCTCTCTTAAGCCATTCGAACCAGCTTGGGAAAGTTGACCTGCTGTACTCAGAAAGTCTCATTATGTAAGTAACAAACCTTTCATAACTTCTTGATGTATGTGTGGCATCATCAGTCTTTTAAAATTATTTTTTATTTTTTAAAATAGAGACAGGGTCTCACTATTTTGCCCACGGTGGTCTCGAGCTCCTGGTCTCAAGCGATCCTCCTGCCTTGGCCTCCCAAGGTGCCAGGATTACAGGCATGAGCTACCTCGCCCAGTCGCATCATCAGTCTCGACATCTGAATCAAATTTCAGATGGGGATCTATCCTACTTCTGCAGGGTGATCAGAACAGAATTATTAGGCATATGAGCCATATCTTATTAATTTCCCTTTCCTCAGTGCCTATAATAAAATAATTAATAAATGGTTATTGAATGAACTATATTTAAATATTGTTGGAATATGAAAATTCAATTTTATCTGAGCTGTGGAATAAACAGTTTCTTTGTGACCAGTTTAAATATGGTTGATGGAAAAATGAAGACCATCAGAAATATTTTGGGAAAAGACAAATTTATAAATCATTTGGAACATTAAGTAAACATTTATCTAAAAATTGAAAAATTGGCAAAGGATTTGAATAGATATTTCTCCAAAGAATATATACAAATGGTCAATAAGCACCTGAAAAAATGCTCCCAGCTATGCAGAAGGCTGCAGTGGAAGGATTGCTTGAGCCCAAGAGGTTGAGGCTGCAGTAAGCTATGATTGTGCCACTGCACTCCAGCCTGGGAGACAGAGTGAGACCTTGTCTCAAAATACAAAATAAAGGCTAGGCACAGTAGCTCACTCATGGCATCCTAGCATTTTAGGAGGCCAAGGCAGGCAAATCACTTGATCCCAGGCATTCAAGACCAGCCTGGCCAACATGGTGAAACCCCATATCTACATACAACAATTAGCCAGGCACGGTGGCGTACACCTGTAGTCCCAGCTACTCTAGAGGCTGAGGCAGGAGGATCACTTGAGCCCAGGAGGTGGTGGTTGCAGTGAGTAGTTATCATGCCACTGCACTGCAGCCTGGGTGACAAAGCAAGATCTTGTCTCAAAATAAATGAATAAGATAAAACAAAAAATAAATAGCAGATAAATGGGGCAATATCTGGAGGAGCATTGACAAGAGAGAAGAATCTATGAAGCGGTGACCTCAGAGGGTGGGAAAGTCCATTCCTTTATACGGTCATGGAAGGTTAGGAAGCTAGTGACACAGAGACGGTGTTAGTGGGGTCATCCCTGTGGACACTGAAACACTGAAATTCATGGGAGGAATCAGGGACAATAGGGGGTTGCCAAATAAAACACTACTTGCTGTTTGTCTGAAAATCAAATTTAACTGGGCATTTTGCATTTTTATTTGCCAAATCTGACAACCCAGGTGGAGAGAAACACTGCCCTGGAAGCTGTTCTGTGAATGAGAGATAATAGCAATATGGGATAGTGTAGTCACCCTTATTCATGGCAGATAAGTTCCAAGACCCCCAGTGGTTGCCGGAGACCACAGATCATACTGAACCTTATATATGCTATGCTTTTTTCCTACACATACATACCTATGATAAAGTTTAATTTATAAACTAGGCACCATAAGAGATGAACAACAATAACAATAAGATAGAAAAATTAGAACAATATACTGTAATAAATGTTATTTGTTTATTTGTTCATTTATTTTGAGACATAGTTTCCCTGTTGCTCAGGCTGAAGTGCAGTGGCATGATCTCAGCTCACTGCAACCTCCGCCTCCTGGGTTCAAGCAGTTCTCACGCCTCAGCCTTCCGAGTAGCTAGGATTACAGTCATGTGCCACCATGCTCCGCTAATTTTTGTATTTTTAGTAGATACAGGGGGTCTCACCATGTTGGACAGGCTGGCTCGAACTCCTGACCTCAAGTGATCCACTCACCTCAGCCTCCAAAAGTGCTGGGATTACAGTCATATAATACATGTTATGTGAATGGAGTCTCTCTCTGTCTCTCTCTCTCTCTTTCTCTCTGTCTCTCTCTCTCTCAGTATCTTATTGTACTGTACTCACCTATTTTCAGACCACAGTTGACTTCAAGCAACTGAAACCTTGGAAAGCAAAGCCACAGATAAGGGGGGACTGAGAACTATAGTTGTATCGTATGAGCTTCAAAGAAGCATGATGAGGGTTGGTGGGGTGGGAAAAAAGGGAAGAAAACTGGTTTCAGAAGAATCATTGGGAAGCAAGTCTCCACATCCAGGCACCAAGTCGTAATGGGGACTTTAGAAAGCTGCAGGAGAACTCGTAACTCAGGACACAGCCAGGCCTCATTTAAACAGTGAAACGGAAGGACGTTGAGAGTCCAGGGGGATCTGGGGAAATTGGGGGGCAGGTTGAGCATGCAAGAGAGTTTCTTGGCCACAGTTCTAATGTTTCAAGAACACAACGAGAGCATTTTTTTAAAGGGTTGAGTCAAATAATCTGATAATGGTGATCAGGAAACTTGCCCGTGAGCACAGTGGCCATGCCACAGAACTGGGCTGGCAGTAGTACCCCGTCATGCTCAGTCGGTGGCTGCAGCCATCCTGGGGCAGTGTGGACCCAGAGAACAGCAAGGGGGCTGGTAGCCAACTACGCTCCCCTCTGCCACCAGAAACAGGAAGTAAAACCTTCCCCTCCCTTCTCCAGCTCCACTTAGCATTTGGTGTAAGGAAAACTGTACTGCAAATGCCCTTTTATGGCAGTTGGTCATTTTGCTGCATTTCTTCGCAGAAGGCATCCTTTATCCCACACAAACAAGTTTTCCATAGATGCCTTGGATTCCACATCTATCCTTTTTCAACTCTCCTCATATTTTAACTACCTTTCTCAATTTCATTTTTATCTTTTCCACACATTTCCTTTAAAAACTAGTATGACTATCTCAAGTTATGAGACAGGATTGCAATCCATTTTCCAAAAGAATAAAATTCAGTTTCTCTGTAGAGTGATGCCTGTCCTGTGGGCCACTCTTCAGGGTATTACAGGTAATAGCTCCTGACAATCTGAATTGCAAGTGTCAGGGTGGAAATCAATTAAGCTGAAAGTGGAAAGGATAAAGGAGACTGCTGTACTCTAAAACCCATTCAACTTTCAATGGCCGGAAAACTAAAAATGTTATCTCAAGAGTTTTCTAAATGGTTTAAACCTAACATGGAGGGAAGTCATGACACGTTCAATTTGAAATATGATCATTCAAGGCTGGGCACGGTGGGTCTCACCTGTAATCCCAGCACTTTGAGAGGTGGGAGGATCACCTGAGGTCGGGAGTTCGAGACCAGCCTGACCAACATGGAGAAACCCCATCTCTACTAAAAATACAAAATTAGCCAGGCATGGTGTCACGTGCTTGTAATCCCAGCTACTTGGGAGGCTGAGGCAGGAGAATTGCTTGAACCTGGGAGGCAGAGGTTGCGATGAGCCGAGATTGTGCCATTGCACTCCAGCCTGGGCAACAAGAGTGAAACTACATCTGATAAAATAAAGAAAGAAAGAAAGAAAAAAGAAATATGATCATTCAGACACCTTATGTATAATAATAACACATTTCATGGACATAGGAGGTCCTCACCTGCTTTCTTTCCAGAATAAATACAATCAGGGATTACATAGTTTTAATAGTTAGAATAATATGCAGTACATGGCCTTGTTATTTTGCTATGTTCTGAAACTACCGAAAGACCATTAAAAAAATTTTTTAATTTCTCTAGGGCTACTAAACAGTCCAAAAACTATTTCTTTAATGAAAACATTCAGTCTATATGCCAAGAAATGGATTTTATAGAGAAATATGAGATGCCCAAATTACCCTAACTCGCCTCCTTCCCTGCAGCTAAATCGACTACATGCTTTTTTTGTAGTACATTAAACTGCTGCATTCCCGACACCGCCAAAATAATTTGCATTGTGACTAGAACATGACAATCTGTTCATCAACAGACAAGGCACCTTCTCTTTTGGGAATGGGAAAACCCAACAGACTTAGTGCCAACTTATTATTACATGGTAACATAAGCTGGAATACGCCCAGTTTCCGTAGTCTCTGGAATCAGCTTCCTCATTTCCCTGGAAATACAACATTTTAAAAAATTCTCTTTTGCCATTTTAGCCATTTTCGAGTGTACAATTCTAGGCACTGAGAACATTCATATTATTGTGCAACCATCACCTCCATCCACCTCCAGTCCTTTTTCATCTTCTCCAACTGAAACTCTGTACCCATTAAACTCTGACTCTCCATTCCCTCCTCCTCCCTACCCCCTGTCAACCACCATTCTACTTGCTGCTTCTGAGAATTTAAGTGCTCTGAGAATCTCATATAGTGAAATAATATATTAGTTATCTTTTTGTAATCAGCTTATTGCAGTCAAGTCTTCAAGGCTCATCTATGTGATAACATGTGTCAAAACTTCCTTTCTGAGGCTGAATAATATTATATTGTTTGTATATAACATATTTTGTTTATCCATTTACCATCGAGGGACACTTGGGTTGCTTCCACGCTTTGACTATTATAAATAATGTTGCTATGAACAGGGATGTACAAATAGAAACTTCAATTTTCAGTAAGCATAAGGCTGCGGCAATAACGAGGATACTCATCGCAACCTTCCTTTTCATTTGCTGGGCCACGCTTCAGTCACAGGTGGTGACCAGAGTGAATATCAAGTTTAAACTGCAGGTGGCAGCAAATATTCATGAACTAGACCCAATGTTTGGCAAAACCATAGCAGTTTTTTACTGAGTTAAATTTTGCCTCTTTAGAATGGAATTCACATTTTTCCCCAGGTCACCTATGTTCAACGTAAGAAACGCTAGAAGCATTTGTGTGGGTTTAACTAATAAGGAGTATTTTAATTGTGAAATATAAAAGAATGGTGAATCAGTATCTGAGTGCTTGAAATTCTGTTCACAGCTTTCAGTCTTGCCTGAAATGTCTCAGCCAACCACACATGCATAATCTTGCCACATCTTCAAGCTCTGAAAGTAGGTCTTCATCATTCAGAGGAACTGCCTCTGGCTGTTCCATGGGATAGACCCTGCTAGTTGTCTATCGGATATCCTTTTCACTTTTTTGCCTACAAATAAAAACCCCAATTTTGATTAGGTCACAGGGTACCCAGCTAAAAAAAATCATTTCCTTACCTCTCTTGCAGCCGAGATGAGCGTACGACACAGTTCTGTCCTGGAGATAGAAGCTCAAGTCTGTTTGAGATCAAAAGTTTTGCTTTCCTGATACAGGCTCCTCCGGTTCTTCCTTGTTGTTTTTGTTGTGTTTTGTTTGTTGTTTTGACTGCTTCCTACCTAAAACCTGGGTGGAAAACAAAAGGTGGGACAGCCATGCTGTAACCATGAGACCACCAGGAAAGTAAACGCACATGTGAAGCACTGCAGAGTAGAAAAAGGAGCCTGGGGCGATGATGGCCCAGGTAAGGTGCCCCAGGGTCCCTGGGCTACCCAACTCTAGGTGTACTGCTTACTTACTTGAAAGTAAGCAGTCCTTTCAAGGACTTTCAAGGACTTCTCACTTCCCGTTATGCGAGAAAAATATTTCCTTATTGAGTTAAAGCACCATACTTAGACTTATGCTAGGTGAAGTAGAGCCCAACCCCCAAGTGAGATGGATAGATAGTCCCTAGGACGCATAGATGAGTTAAATGTGTGTTTAAAGATAAAGACAATTAATATACTAGCTTCTTTTTTAATTGAGAAAAGGTGCCTCAAATGCAGTGCAGAACTACATTTTTTTCAGACGTATGTCTAAAAATATTAAGGCAGATATTATGCAACATTTAAAATAACGAGTTAGTAGACTTTTCCATAAATAAAGGAATGGCATTTAGGAGTAGAAGTAGGAGAAGAGGATGACATTTTAAATAATAAAAGCAGAGCTGAGTTTCTAAGATTTCTCATAAAAATCCTCATGAATGTGGGAGTCTCTGTTCATTAACAGCTTCAATTCATCAGATTTTGCCACAATGTTATAATAACTCATTTGTGAAATGCCACAAGGTCAAGATAATCCTGTCCTCATCCATATCTTTTTAATGAAAACATTTGGGGCTCTGTACATATAGCTAAAGTATTCATCCAGTGAAATGAACATTTATCAACATCCGAGAGAGACAGACAGAGAGAGAGAGAGAAGGTTCACAGAAAAAGTAAAATGAAAGACTTGGAGAAAATATTCTAGAATCAGAGCACTCAAAGGGATGGAACCAAACAGGAGAGTGATTGTGAGAGAGGCTGAGGTTTAAGTGATAAAATCAGGTCTAAATCTGTGACTCTAACTTCTTCTGTATACTTTAAACAGGTTTCTACATTTGTAAAGTAAGAGATAGGAAACGTCTCATGACACTTATAATTTAGTTGGAGAATAAAAAAGTAAAGACATTAGCGGAAGAGCAAATAGTGTGGCACAGTATGTAATTAACAGCTAAATTATATGGTTCGAGGACAAGTGCTACAGAAATTGAGAAAGCAAGGAGAATTATAAGACCAAGAATAGTTGGGAAAGGGTTTCACGGAGGAGAGAGGAATAGGGATAATTTACAAAGGGAGATGATTGAAGAAATAACTTTCTAAGTAGAAAGGAAGCAAAGTCAAGAAGGGATGCATATGTTTGTCTTGTTTGTGGCATGGAAGGAAGGCTTGTTTTGGAAAATAGTGGGGAGTAAATTTAGGTTTGTAGTATTGGGTCAACTCATAGATGCCCTCAAAAGCTAGGAAGAAAATATTTAGAAGCCTAGTAGAAGTGAATTCTGTTTCCTGGAGTGCAGAGATTATTGGCTCAGGCATTCCCAACTCCACTCAAAGCTTTAATGGTTGGGAAACCCAGGAGCATCCCAGGTACCCAAGCTTGTGCTGAGTCTCAGCTCCTGGGCCAGCAGCTCTCTTCACTATCCATCAAACTCCATCCATCAACCCATGGGTGACTCCTTCCAAAGAGGGAACCAACCCAACCTCCAGAGGGTACTGTCATTTTCAATCCATGAAGAGGATTGCAGGCACTGCCTGCAATTTGAAGAGGAGATTATGATTTGAAAAGGTAGACAATCTTTTAAAAAGTCAAGAAAAAGTTTTTAAGAGTGACAACCCCAGTACACCACCATGGAATTTTGGCAGAGGCAAAGAAAACAAAATCGCCACCAGTGCTAGCCAGTTCTAGAGCTGCTGACTTGGAGGAGGCAAACTGAAGTGCAGAGGACCTCGACAGAGCCTGGAGTACAGGCCATTTAGCAGCATTTCAAGAGAGAGAAGAGACTCGAGTTCTTGGCGATGGTTCTACTCCAGACAGGTGATCCAATCTCATTCAATAAAAACTATTCAGTGAGAATGTCAAGGGGAATTTGCCCATCATATATCAAGGCATCAAAAGGTCTGGATGAGTGACTCATATTTACTACAAACAAGGAAGAAAATGAATGTCATGGCAACCATACAAGAACCCTACACACCACACCACATTACACCACACATACACACACACACACACACACTAACCGGTGCTTCTCAAACTTTCAAATTTGGGAATTACGTGGAGAGCTCATTAAAACACAGATTCTAGACCTCACTCCCAGAATTCCTGATTCTGCTCCCTGGAAAACCCTAGTCAAGCATAGAGCAACATCTAATTGACCTTTTATTCCAACACAGTTCATATTTGTAAAGAACATTGTCACCTAATAAATATGTCCTAAATTTCTTTAGAATACTAAGAGCAGGGGGAAAAAGCATTGCTTTTTAAAATTTATATGACAGACTCAAAAAAAGGTTTGGAGATTCTCTATTCCATAATCCTTCCATCTATGACATACTTAAAAAAAGTTTTTAAACCTTTCAAATGTATCCTGGTAGCCTGCAGTGATAGAGTGGCTACTATTTCTCATTTTATTTCAACACATTTGGGGCAGCTTTAATTACTATAAAACCATCCAAGGAGCTACTAGTCTTATCTTCCCTTGGAGAGATTTATTTACACTTCAAAGTGTAAGAATAAGAATCCAGGATTCTTTTGAAAGAACAAAGGTTTTTGCCCCCACATTTCAAGAGAGAAGGGGAAACAGCTATTTCTTTCCTGTATAAATGTCCAGATTTACATTTTCAGGATTCTTCACTTACATTACAAACTCTGATATGTGTAGGCTGACACCTGATCTAGGTCTTAGTGTTAAGATCTTAGAGTTTAGAATTGAGGCAAAGGAGAACTGGTATGGTTATTTGCTGTAAGCAAATAATAATCTGCTCTGCTTTCAAAACCTTGTATTCTCATTTATTGTGTGAAAGTTGCAGATACCAAGATGTCAGACCCAGACAAACAGGGTTAGCAAAGCCTGAAGGAGAGAAGGCTCATGCTTACATGTCTGAGACAAGAACTGTTTCAAAGGACTTTATAAAAACCCTTTGAGGGCTTCATGCACCTCCTGCTTTAATAAGGTATGTCACTAAACATTCTTGAAGACTACAGTACTACAGATATGATGCTCTCCAAGGAACACTTGTCCAGCAACAGCATCTCCAACAATGAACTGACAATAACTCTGACTTTGAACCTTGGGAACCAATGAACTCTGAACTCTCCTTTTTTTTTTTTTTTTTTTTTTTTTTGAGACAAAGTCTTACTCTGTCACCCAGGCTAGAGTGCAGTGGCGAGATCTCTGTTCACTGCAACTTCCTCCTCGCAGGTTCAAGCAATTCTTCTGCCTCAGCCTCCCGAGTAGCTGAAATTACAGGTGCACGCCACCACACCCAGCTAATGTATTTTGTTTTGGTTTGGTTTTTTATTAGAGATGACTTTTCACCATGTTGGCCAGGCTGGTCTTGAACTCCTGACTTCAGGTGATCCACCTGCCTTGGCCTCCCAAAGTACTGGGATTGTAGGCATGAGCCACTGCGCCCAGCCGAATGAACTCTGTTTCTAAGCAGTTTACGTAAGACCCTTTTTTGCTAATAAAAGCTCCCCTTACCCTTCCCTTGCCAAATAAATGCACTGGTGGCTTGCCATTCCATGTACTCCAAATTATAATCTTTACTTCTATTCCTGAGTAAATCCATCATATTTAGAGATAATTTTTTCTAGTGCCGTTTTTTTTCCGGAATGACAATGGTAATATTAGTAAACATAAGTATTCTAAAATTCAAGAATCCCATGACAACCTAAGAAAGGTGTATGAACATAAGTTTCCATGAGAGAGATTATTGGCTTTGGCAGACTGAAATCATGTAGAAATTATTTTCATGTACAGCTTATACATTTAATATTTACTACACATTAAGTAGTATTTCCCATTACCAATTCCATATTACAATTTCAGGATAATAGATTTACCCCAAATGTTGATATTCCCATGAGAACTGTGAAAGTAATATATGGCCTACAAAAACATTTCATGAAGTGAGTAACTTGGATAAATTAGTGCAACAAATGTTTATGGCTTTTTCTCATTTTTGGAAAAACTTACTCCTAATTACCAATCTCTGTCTTCTTCCAGAACCTTTCCCATTCACCATAACTTACCGGATTTTTTTCAGTGAATATCTGTATTTACAAAGAACTTTTTGTAGTGTGAAATAAACCTTGCCTCCCAAACACTTTTCATGCCTATTACTTTACTTTGTTACAACATCTTTGTGCCACATCAGATAATTACAATTAGTCCTTTTTAGAGATGAGAAAACTGAGGCACAAAAAGATTAAGTAATTTACCGAAGCCCATCCAGTTAATTAGTTTCAAAACTAAAGTTAGAGCCAGCCAATTAAGTGGTTGTACTGAGTTTACTCTGAATGATTCATATGACCTCTAGTTATAAAAATTAAACTAATAGCCTCATGGCACAGCCAGTAGTTGGCTTACTTTTCAAAATCCTAAGACTGTGAACGCAGATGAGAAGACGAAAGGTCCCACTCTGAGTAATAGCCGTACAAATTATCATTTAATATGTTCTCTTTTTAAATATGTCATTTTGGTTTTTTTAATAGCATTTCTTTTTCTAGCAGTATCCAATTCACAAATGACAATTTTTAAAAAGCATGCCAAAAATCTAAGACAATTATGTGACCTTAAACAGTGATGTGGTTTGTTTAATTATGGAGCTGGTAACTTACTGACATTCAGCTGTTCATGACCGATATCTTTATGTTAGTTATACATAATTAATTAAAATAAATGCTTGCCAACTGACTATGAATCTTGGCATTAAATGTACTTGATATTTGCTGTCAACGTACAGATTATAATAAATTTCTGCAATGCGTATGGTTTTTTAAATGTATTTCTATTATTGAAAGGGCAAGATCAGCTTTGTATTAGA